CGGCGGCGGCATTGGCAATGTAGAAGTCTGCCCGCACGGTGCCGTCGCTGATGTCTGTCGGCGCGGTATGGGCTTTGGTCTTCTTAAAGACGGTGTGGCTGGTCCTATCATGGTATGCCTGCCACAAGAGGGACCACAAATCAGAGTTGGTTCTGTGTTTCCAATTCTCTCCCCGTCTGACCCCTTTCATGATGTAGTCGCTATCCGTGACGACGACGATGGGCCCGTCTAGGGCCAACGCATAGACAGCCGCAGTGGGCTCCACGATTGACTGTCTGGGCTCCTGGGGTGAGGCCATAGAGAGTCCCCTGAGCCCATTGGTCCCTGCCCATCAAGGCGAGGCCCCATCCTACTCTGCGGAGGCGAGGATCGGCGGAATGTTGTCCTCCCGAGCCGTCCGTGCCGACACGCCGCGTCTCGGTGAAGGTGAAACGCCCCGTGTAGAGGCATCCCGTACCATCTACCTGAGAGTTGACGGATCTGGAATTGAGGAAGCCTACCGTCTGGTCCTGCGGCTGTAGTCCTCGAAACCACTTAATGGGAAATGTGTTTCTTTCAGCCCTGGCCCTCGGGAGGAGGTGTTGGGAGCCCCGAGTCTCGTCATGTTCTAATGCAATAGAAATGAGGGCTGGGCAATTCCAATAGGCGTGAAAAGCGTCCTCACCTGGGGCTCCGCATCGCTAGCATTCGGGGGAGCCTTTCATTCCAGCTTTGAATCTCCTAGCTCCATGCCATATGCACCCCTTGGCAACATACTATGCAGCTGCAACTAAATGTTTGGATTTCTTCCTCCATCCTCCCACATGGTGTCGAAACTGGTGGATATCAACTCCTCCTTCTCCCCCTCCTCCACAATAGAACTCGGCCGCCTGCCCCCAGTACTTGTGGGTGACGCAGGCATAGAAGGCGGCGAGCACTGAGGACTGATCATCCTCGACACCTGGCTTGGCGAAATACTGCTGTCCGAACGGGCTGATCCACCTCCATGGATCTGAGACCTCCCAGCGGAAGTCCAAAAGGTAGGCGAGGACGGACGACATGAGGCTGTATACCTTGTTCCATCTACCTGGTCATTGGAGTCGGGCAAGGGTCCCGGGCCAAGTTTTTTCAATCCCAATGTGTAGGTGCTCCTCCTGGTTCAATATGGAAAACCAGAGCTCCTGACATCCCAAGGGAACATCATATCCTGGATCGGTAACCAAGCTGCCCTTCGGGGAGAGGGCGCAAGCGGTGGTAGCACAGCCAGATTTACTGATGAGCCCCACAGCAGCAGCCAATCGCCCCCTGAGGAGCTTGAGGGCTGTGGGGGGGCACCCCGTGTCCTTGGAAGCCCCAGACCAATTGAGGTTTAGCCCCAGTGCTGACGAGACTTCGGGCCCCTTTGATCTTCTTCGAGGGCTTCCGGATCTTGTTAAGCCGGGAGAACCCATCCGCTTGTTTGGCTTTGCGGGTTCTTAGTCTACGTTGTCGTCCTAATGTAGCACCAACCCCAAGATCTCTCCCTTGACGCTGAACTGTGATGGGCACTCCTTGGGCCTCCAGCGCCTGAGCCACACCAGCTGCCAAAGAGGAATTGGACGCCACCAAGCAACTCTGGGAAGACAGCTTGCGTCCTTGCCGAGCGAGGTCCCCGCCCAGGGAGACTATGGCAGCAGGGAGGAGGTGTAACATATACTCTGCTGATGGCCACGTGCGCACTCGGAGGTCATCAACCCATGTGCGGAAGCTGAGTGGCATGAACTCTTTGTGGAATTTGTCCAACACTTGATACAAAACGCACGCGCCAGCGAGCAACTTTGCCCGCAACCTTGGAGCATCGACTTATCTGGTACTGCAAAGTCAGAGCATCCAATGGTCGACGTGAGCACCCTCGTGCACCGATTAAGCATGAGTGCGAGCGCGAGTGGAGGGGCAGGGTAGTTCAAACGTAGGGCTGAGTGAACCGTCCACTCGAGCTCAACTGAATCGAACAACTTCTCGATGTCGAGGAGGGCCTCCACCATGGAAATGTCCCCTGCCGTGGCAATTGCAGCTGCGATTTCTGACAACACCGCAGCCCTGAGAGCGTCGTCCCCCTTGAGCGCCTGATCCCAGAAACCCGCAGAGTCCTGGTCCCAAGAGGATAGCTCGGTCCTGAACAGCTTGGATATAACCCGATAGAGCCCCGTCGTCAATGTCAAGGGTCCGTCACACTCCGCGTTTTTCGGCTGGAGAAAGATGAGGTTGAGGAGGACCTGGAGGGGAAGCTGTTGCCGACGGCATATTTGGTTAATCAGATCCGTGAAACCTTTGCGGCCCTCGTCCTGCAGCATAAGGAAGTCTCGGACTGACCGTCCGTCACCTCCTGGCGCGGCCGAGGCCTTGTACAGTGCGACAACGTTAGAGACGTCGCTGACCTCCCAGTCGCGGTAGTCTAAGTCCCATTCCTCAATGGCCTGATTTCGAACCTTTCGGACCCACTGAGGCTCAAACGGGGCCGGGTGGCGTTTGCTCTGGGGGTCCCACTTGCTCATCCAGTGTTCGAGCGTTTTGTTCATGGCCAGGTAGGGGTCGGTGATGATCTCCCCATTGGGCCCTTGGGAGTCCTCGAGGGGCTCAGGTGGGGCTCCAGTGTTGGCCCTGGTGATGGCGTGGGCGGCCCCTCCTCCTCTCTTGGGGGAGTTCAAGACAAACTCTTTGAAACCATCCCTAGGCTCCTGGAGCTCCGAAAGGCAGAACTGGTGCTGGACCCCATCTATGATCTCCAGCCCCTTGGCCTGTGTGTCCTTGTCGGAGTATCCCCCAAGATGCGATTCAAGAACCCAAGATTCCTCTGGAGTCATATCTGGGTACGGGATCTTGCTTGCAAAGTTCGCGACAAACTTCTGCAACCTTTCAAAGTGCTGGTAATGTGCCTTGGCGTGGTCCCGCTCCTTCGCGCGGATACCTAGGGTAGCCCACTGGGTGGCGGCCGACTTGGCACGTCCCTCCTTGGGCGCGGGCGGCAGGGGCGCCTTCCAAGCGAAGCGCGGCACTGGCCCCGCTTGGCACTCGATGTCAGATACTGCTATGTCCCGCTGCTGGAGCTCCACTGCCCTACAGAGAACTGCGAATGTCTGGGTAAGCCGATCATCGTGGTGACCAAAACACGCCGGATATTGTGCATGTTGGGTTCCCTGGACCTGGTGAAACGCCTTCCCGAAGTACTCAGCCCATGGACGAGCAGGTCCCAGGGCCCGAGGTATTGGCGCATGTCTCTCAATGGCCCATATCTGTTTGGTAAAGACCTCACACGGCATGTCCAAGGTGAGCCCGTAGTGTGGGCTCCAGGGGCCATCCAAGTGCCCCTTGACAGTGATGTTCGTAGCCAAACGCTCATCAACAATGAAGAAATCTATCCTGGTTTTGGTCACCGCGCTGGTGTAGGGAATGTCTGGCACGACGATGGTGCCATTCATGTACGATAGGATGTTGGCCCCCTCTGTGGAGGACGGGTCCATGTTGAAATCACCTCCTAGGATGTAGGGCATTCTCATGACGCGCACAAAGGTAATAATCTCCCACATAATATCCCTGTTGGCGGCATTGTACCCAATGGGCTCCTCCTCCTTCTCCTCTCCCTCCTCCCCCTCCTCCTCCTCCTCCTCCTCCTCCTGATCCTCATCCTTTTCCTCCTCCTGATTATCCTCCTCCTCCTCCCTTCTCATCCTCCTCTTCCTCATCAGCATCCTCATCCTGCTGCTGATCCTCATCCCCCCTCCTTATGCTGCTCCTCCTCCTCCTCCTCCTCCTCCTCCTCCTGTTCCTCCTCCTCCTGCTCCCCCTAATCCTCCTCCTCAGCCTCCATACTTCCTCTCCTCTCCTCCTCTCCCTCCCTCTCATCTCCTCCTCCTTCCTCCTGCCTTCCTCCTACTCTTTCTCCTTCTCGGTCCTCATCCTCGTCCTCCTCCTGCAGCCTCCTCCTCTCCTCTCCTTCCTCCTACCTTTCTCCTCCTCCTCCTCCTCCTCCTCTCTCCTCCTCTTTCCTCTTTTCCTCCTGCTGCTGGTTCCTCCCTATCCCTCCTCCACTTCTCCTGCTGCCCCTCTTCATCCCCATTCCTTCTCCTCCCTCCTCCTTCCTCGTGCTCATCCTATCCTCTTCCGCCTGCCTCTCCCCTCCTACTTCCTTCCTCTCCCTTCCTCCTCCGTCCTCCTAGACTCCTCCTCCTCCTCCTCTTACTTTTTCACAGTTCGACCAACATTGACCTATGGCATGTTTAATCCCCTCTTCTTCCTCCTCCTCATCCTCATCCTCATCCTCAATCCTCATCTCCTCTCCGTTCCTACCTCCCCCTCCTTCCGCCTTCCCCTCCTCCTTCCTCCTTCCCCTCTTCCTCCTCCTTCCTCCTTCCCCTCTTCCTCCTCCTCCCTTTCCTCCTCCTTCTCCTCCTCCTCCTATTCCTCCTCCTCCGTCCTCCTCTCTCCCTCCTACCCTCGACCCCTCGATCCTCCCCCCTCCTTCTGACCCAACCCCTCACTGTGGGCCCTGGGCGCGCGCCCGGCCCGACGCCGAGGGCGATTTTTCCCCGGCTTCGGATGCAACTCCTGGGAGGCAATATTCTGACGTTGCCCTGGTCCGAAGTCCGGCTTGATCCCGCGCTATCCCAGTTAAGCCCCGCTTCATAGTCCGCGGCCTGATCTGGCGCAGCAGCCCCCCAGTGGGGCTCAGTCCTCCTTAATCGTTCCGAGGAAGACCTCCCAGTAGTTGCATCCTAACCCAGCCCCGACTGTTCGACGGAAAATGAAAAGGCTCAGTAAAGGAGGGGGGCCCTGGGAGATAACCCCAAGGGGGCTGTTCGGACGCACCCATATCGAGGATGGGCGTCCCCCCATCGTAAACCCCAGGGTTAGGCCCCAAATTTTGGTTCCAGTCGAGAACCTCCCAAAGCCTGGGATAGGGGTCGACGTATCCCCTGTTACGTCAAGGGTCCCAGACCCCCTCGAATTGTGAGAAAGATGAGGGCGGCCGTCAGAACACGATG